CTTTACAGAAGCAGAACCCCCCACACATACACCCCATCTTTTTTCTGCAGAGCAGCTGGTGGGTTCGAACCACTGAGCATTTGGTTAGCAGCCAAAGCCTTATTCATGACACCACCAGAACTCCTTCAATGTAGCTACTCTAAACTAAACTCATAGCCGTTGAGTTGATTTGACTCATAGCAACCCCTCCTTGGGTTTCCAAGTATCACTATGGAAGTAGATTGCCCTATCTTCCTTCCGAAGAGTGGCTGGTGGGTTTGAACCGCCAGCCTTCTGATTAGCAGTAAAATGTCTTAGGCACTATGCCACCAGAGCTCCCAAATTATATATGTGGTTTGTGTTATACTTCTATTGGGCAGTTGTGCTCTAGATATTTCTTTAAGGGATTTCATGCCCTTGAAAAATTCTTTTCTTGGCTTTCATGACTCCTTGCTCTCTTGTTTTTTTTCCCTGGCTGCTTCTTCTCAGTGTCCCGGCTGATCTTCTTTTCTTCATCCCATTTATTAAATTGTGCAATTCTGTCCTGAGTTCTCACCTCTTCTCATCCATTGTGCTCTTCTAGGGAAAACTCATTCATGTTTCTGGTGTCAACACCCAACAATTAAAAAAAATATTGTTAAAAATTGAGATATAATTCACATACCATGAAATTCACCCTTTTATAGTGTAGAATTCAGTGGTTTTTAGTATACTTACAAGGCTGTGCAACCATGTGAGATATACATAATTTTGCCTTTGTCCTTGGTTCTTGAGAGACAATGCTTGGAATCTAAGTGTCTTAATAAAGATTTCAGATGACACCTAACAGGTTAGATATGATGATCTTCTACTTTACCAAGCATGACATCCTTCTCCAGGGATTCATCCCTTCTAACAACATGACCAAAGAATGTGAAACAAAAGTCTGGCTAGTCTTGCTTCTAAGGAGCATTTTGGTTGTACTTCTTCCAAAATAGATTTGTTCATTCTTTTGGCAGTCCATGGTATTTTCAGTATTCTTTGCCAATACTACAATTCAAATGTATTAATTCCCTGGAGAAGGATATCATGCTTGGTAAAGTGGAGGGTCAATGAAAAAGGTGAAGGTCCTCAATGAGATGGATTGACACAGTGACTGCAACGATAGGCTTAGGTATGGCAAGGATTGTGGGGCTGGCACAGGACTGGGCAGTCAGTGTTTCGTTCTGTTTACATAGGGTCACTATAAGTCAGAGCCAACTTGACAGCACCTAACAACAACAACAGTTCTTCTGTGGTCTTTTTTTGTTAATTGTCTAGCATATTGTTGTTGTTGTTATTATGTGCCATCAAGTCGGACCTGACTCATAGCAACCCCTCCTTGGATTTCTGAGGCAGTATCACTACGGAAGATTGCCCCATCTTCCTTCCGAGGAGTGGCTGATGGGTTTCAACCACCAGCCTTCTGGTTAGCAGTCAAGTGCCTTAGGCACTACATTACCAGAGCTCCCATCTGGCATATTAGGTGATTGAAAATACCATGGCTTGCGTCAGGTGCACCTTAGTCTTCAGAGTGACATCTTTGCTCTTTAACACTTTAAAGAGGTCTTTTGCAGCAGATTTAGCCAGTGCAATAGGTGTTCTGATTTCTTTACTGCTTCCATGGTTGCTAATTGTGGATCCAAGTACAATGATATCTCTGACAACTTTAATCTTTTCTCCATTTATCATGATGTTGTTTATTGGTCCAGTTGTGAGGATTTTTCATTATGCTGAGGAGTAATCCATACTGACGACTGCAGTCTTCAATCTTCATCAATAAGTTACTTCAAGTCTTCTTCACTTTCAGCAACTAAGGTTGTATTATCTGCATATCTCATGCTGTTAGTGAGTTTTTCTCCAATCCTGATGCTGTGTTCTTCTTCATATAGTCCAGCTTCTTGGATTATTTGCTCAGTGTACAGATTTAATAGCTATGGTGAAAGGACACACTCCCTTCTTAATTTTAAACCATGCAGTGTCCCCTTGTTCTGTTTGAACGACTACCTCTTGGTCTATATACAGGTTCCTCATGAGCACAATTAAGTATTCTGGAATTCCAATTCTGCTCAATGGTATCCATAATTTGTTACATTCCACACATAGAATGCCTTTGCATAGTCAATAAATCACAGGCAAACATCTTTCTGGTATTCTTTGCTCTCAGTCAAGATCCATCTGACATCAGCAATGATATCCCTTGTTCCATGCCCTCTTCTGAAACCGGGTTAAATTTCTGGCAGTTCCCTGACAATATACTGCTGTAACCATTGTTAGATTATTTTCATTACATAATGAGACCCCCAATAAAAGCTCTGGACACTGAACTTCCATGGGTTCCTTAGCTGGTGAAAGATATCCATGCATATAAGAGAGTAGCACGTCCCTTTCTGAGACAAGGAATTTTGAGTTGGGAACCCTCCCAGATCCTGCATTATCCATCTCTTCTTTATGCTGATTTTGATTAGAATCCTTTATAATAAAGCTGTAATTTTAAGTATAGAACTTTCCATGAGTTCTGTGAATTATTCTAATGTATTACTCAAAGGAGTTGTAGGAGCGAGTCAGAAGTTAGGAAGCCCAGGGCATACTCCTGAGCTTGCAGTTGGCACCCTGAAGAGGTAGAGGAAAACCCCTGAATCAGTAGCCAACAGGTCAGAAGTTAGGGAGCTCAAGGTGGACTCCCAAACTTTATGCTGGCATCTACCTATCTGGCAGTGTGAAGGATGGTATCCATTTAACTTGATGTTGCTCCGGATGGCTAGGATCAGAGAAAGAAGTGACGTACTGGAAGTTGGTGTCAGAGATATGAATGATTGTGGACTTGGATGTATGCTGAGTATTACATAAACCATCACTACTATCAAATTTCAGAACATTTTTGTCACTCCAAAAAGAAACTCCAGACCCACAAGCAGTCACTCTTCATTCTCCTTTTTCCCAACCCCTAAATCTGCTAACCCCTAAACCCTGAAATCCACAGAAACTTCCTGTTTCTGTGGATTTAGTGTACAACTGACTCATATATCCAAGTGCCTCCTGGGCCTGTCCATCTTGGATATTTAAGATGTAGCCAGAACTCAGAATCTTCACCCTATATCTCTACCCCACAATTATCCTAGCTACAAATCTCTGTCATCTTAACTCCTTCCTTATCTTTCTTCATCCATCTACTTAGTCATCCACTCAGTTTCACAACTTCCTACTTCTCTTTCATAAATATCTTGATTCTGTTTATCTGTACCAGACCTGGTTGTGATAATTGTTTTCTACCCCCCTAATGCCCCCCCCCCAATATAGCTTAAATTTTTCTACATATTTCGCCTTTACTTCTACCTCCAGAGTCCAGGCCCCTTATACATTCTAGTTCATTCTAAGCACAAAGTCCAGATGGTCATTTAAAAACATCACTAGATTATGTCATGCTCTGCTAAAAATCCTTGATAACTTCTGTATTAGATTCCTAGGCCTGCCAAAACAAATTACCACAAACTTGATGGCTTACCACAAGAGAAATTTATCCCCTCATAGATCTGAAATGTGTTCTTTCAGGTTTGGCAGGGCTATGTTCCCTCCAAAAGCTCTAAGGAAGACTTCATTCTTGTCTCTGCCTATCTTTTGAAAGCCCTGGATGTTCCTTAGCTTGTGGTAGCATCACTCCAATCTCTGCCTCTGTCTTCACATGGACTTCTTCCCTCTTCTAAGAACACAGCTCATTGGGTTTAAGGCCCACCCTTAGCCCGGGATTATTTAAGGTTCTTAAAATTCTTAAATAATTACATCTGCAAACACCTTATTTCCAAGTAAGGTCATATTCTGAGGTTCTGAGTGGACATGAATTTTGGGGGACACTATTCAACCCACTAAAGCATTTCATTACATTTGGAAAAAAAAATCCAGATTTTCACAGGTGTGTAAGAAGCTTTTCCTACTTTTCTGCCTTATTGTGTTGGCCCTCTTTTCATCACTGACTGTGCTTCAGCCACATAGACTTTTTTTTAAAAAAATTTTTAAAGTTCTTTCTTGGCCCTTTCTTATTTTAGGTCTCAGCTAAAATGTCACTTCCTCAGAGAACCCTTTCTGTGCATTCTATATAAAGACGGTGCCCATTCTCCCCCATTTGTTTCCTTCATAATTCTTATCACAGAATAAAACTTACCACGTTTTTTTGTTTGCTTTCGGTCAGCCTCCTCCTGAGAAGCAAGAACTGGTCTGTTTTGTCACCCATTGGAGCTTTTCAGAGATGCTCTGGATATCCACTAAGTGAATGAATGAAGGAGTGTCCTTTCCCTAAGTCACAGTGGCACCTTCTTTCTCAGACTACTTCAACTGTTTCCTCATTGGCCTCTCCCTCATATCTATCCTCCCTGCGTCAGCAGGAGGACTCATACTACTGGGTGTACAGAATCGCCACCCTTCCCCGCTCTCAAAACCCTTCACTGGCTGCTTCTTGCACTTACATCAAAGCCTTCCTCCATGTCTGGTCAGGCTGCACTGACTACCTCTTCCCTTTTATTCTCAGGGCTCAAGTTTGCAACCCTCTCCCATTTCTTCCCTCTGATTGGGCCCTCTCTCACCTCTGACCCTGGAGGAGATAGAGCTTTTCCAACAACGCCATTTGCCATTTGCGTGGCTTACTCCTCATCCTCGGATTTCTCTTTCCTCCGAAGCTTCACAGTAGTGGTCTGGATATAGCCTGAGGGGCCACCACTGTAAACTCTGATTTCCAAGCTTTGGTGGCGTAGGGCCTAAGGCATGTGACTACTAACCAGAAGGCTGGCGGTTCAAATCCACCAGCCCCTCCTCAGAAGGAAGATTGGGCAATCTACTTCCCTAGTGATACCGCCTCGGACGGAAACACAAGGAGGGGTCGCTGTGAGTCGGATGCTACTCAACTGCAGTGAGTTTCGTTTGGTTTTGGCTTCCTCACTGGTCTGGGAAAAGGGAGAGGGACCAAGTAGCTCTCGCCCAGAACTCTGCGGGGAGAAGGGCATGGGACTCACCAGCGCTGCTGGCTCCTCCGCTCGGCCTCCAGGAGCTCTATCCACAGCTGGTCCTGCTGCACGCCATGCGCTCCCGCGGTCCCCCGCTCGACCTTCGCAACCTGGGGCTCCTGGGGGCCGCCAATATGACTCCTGAGCTTCACAGGGCCGTGTGCAGCAGCCGGGGAGACTGAGGCTGGCATCTTAGTCGCGGGCAATCGGTATCCTGCAGATGTGTTTCTATGGAGCCTAGGGGTGGGGCGGCTCCCCATGAGTGCAAGTGTGTGTGTGTGTGTGTGTAGGTGCTTGCGCGTGCCTGCCTGCTCCTGTGTGGATGGGTGTGTGAGTGGGCTCCTCTTCCTGCTCCCCCTCTTTCCTAGTCCTGAAAGCAGGTGCAAGGATCCTTCTCATTGCCCGTTCTGAACCTTCAGCTAAGAGTGGCCAATGGGCTGGGCCCTCCAAGCCCAGGAAAGCTTTTGAGCCCAGCTGTCTTTTGAGCTCTTGCTCATGTTGACTGTCACCCTGGGAACTGGTAGCTCCTAGTGTACCCAGGATGGGCCAGCCCCTTGAGTGCCTGGTGTGTGTGTGTGTGTGTGTGTGTGTGTGTAGAGCACACCTGAATCCCAGGGGTTGATGGTGAAGAGAGCTCCTGGGTCTGTTCCATACCCAATTCCTTAGCCCTTGATCCCTCTTCTCAGCAGGAGACCACCACACAGTATGGGCGAGAGGTAAGGAGCTGAAGTCCTGAATCCTGGGGCAGTAAGAAAAGACCTGGGCTGGCAGACAGGACATCCAGGTGTGGCCCCCGTCATGCTAATCATCGCCTTGTGTCCTCTGGTAGCCTCTGCCCCTCTAGGGGCTTTAGTTTCCTCTTATTTGGAAAGGAATAATAATTTCAGTTTTGCCCTGCTGGTGGATGCAGTAAGGCTCATAGGAGATGATGGATGTACAAGTGCTTTGTGAACTAAAGATCAGATCTTAGTGTGATGTTTCCTGCTTCTATTTTGGAATGATGGAAGACATTATGAGTATATGCCAAGCAATTGTATTAGGGGAAAGAACATTAGTAATAGTGCATTATTAGTATCTATTCTTTCTGTATAAACCTGGAGAATTTGCAAAGCACTATCTTTTATCTTGCTGAACACTCCCAAACATCCAAAGCAGTTATTTCCAACCCTATTTTATAAAAATAAATTGAGGCCTAGCAAGATTAAGTTACTTTCCAAGTTTACAGAGCTAGAGGTAGAGCTAAGGAGTTCTGGTAGTTAAAGTATTCGGCTGCTAATCAAAAAGGATAGTGGTTCGAAACCACTAGTCACTCCATGAGAGAAAGATGTGACAGTCTGCCTCCTTTAAGATTTATAGCCTTGGAAACTCAATGGGGGCAGTTCTATTCTGTCCTATAAGGTCACTATGAGTCAGAATTGAATCCATGGCAGTGGGTTTAGCAGGTAAGTGAAGAGCTTGGCTTTGAATTTAGAACTTCTGAAGGAAACAATGGTCATCTGAGGGTGGGGATTTTTGTTCTACATGTTTAGCTCTCATTTCTGCTCTACCTCAGTGCAGCTCAAGTTTGCTCAACTGACCTCCTCAGGCACCCTCTCTCATCATTTCTGCTCCAGGGACTCTGTACTTCTGGTTCTCTCAGCTTCTTGCTACTGTATTTATTCCCCATTAGAAGAGATTCATAGTTCTGTCTATAAAACTATTGACTAGGATTTTGCTGAGAACTTTTGGTCCATATTCATGAGGAATATTGGTGTATAATTTTCTTTTTCAGTGGTATCTTTGCCTAGCTTTGGTATCAGGGATATGCTTGCTTCACAAAAAGAATTTGGGGGTATTCCCACCTTTTCTATATTCTAGAATAGTTTGAGTAGAATTGCTGTCAGCTCCTTTCTGAATGTTTGGTAGAATTTGCCAGTGAAGCTGTCTGGGCCAGGACTTTTTTTGTTGTTGTTGGTAGTTTT